ACTGCAACGAAAAATTCACGGCTTAGGAGAGATGAGATTAAATCAAAACGATAACAGAGTGTGAAGCATAAGCGTAAGTGCTCCTGCAGCAAGAACAAGGCCCGATTCGTGATGAACAAAGAAGCTGTTCGCTATATTTCCACCGAGTGTTTAATGCGCACGGCGTCTGCTGCGACGCGGTGTCGTGGGGACAATTTAGAAACTATACATGTATATAAACAGAAAAAAAAAAAAGAGGGAAAGATGAAAGCGGCGGCTACATTAGTCGGCAAGGTAAAGAGAATGCTAAACTGACTCGGCGTTCATTTTATTCAACAGCAGAGGGTGTACATAGGCTTTAGGTGTAACTATCGTATCATCGTTACGGATTGGTACAATCGATCTTTTTTGGTACGAGCCACGATGGGCGCAATGCATCATTGCCTTCCGTACAGGCATAACTGATGAATCAGTATAACATGTGGATATTAACGGATATAAAATAACCATTGTTTAACTCTAACATTAGGCTAGAGCGTTGTTATATGAAATATCCGTCAATGATAGCATTAACTCATCTTGTTTATGCTGTATCGCGTGTGGAATATATAACAATTTCATATTGGCTTGCAAAAAATATATACAGTTTTTAAGCCGAAATTAAAGAAAATATTTATTTTTTTTTAAATGATATTATTAAAGTGAATGTGCGCCGTTTTGATCGATGACGTCTTTAGTTGTAGCACTCATGTGGACGAAGGCTGCGATAAGTTTACCTCCGTTAAAACTAAATTAACACCATTAACAGAACTATACAGACCGAAATACATAATTGTCTGATGATACAAAATCCTGAAAATTTTTGTTGACTACCTAAAAATGCATATGTTCTGGCACTGTCACAGTGGAAGGTGAGGCTTGTTCTGTCCGCTAAGTGCGGCTGATTTTTTTCAGTGGCTTGCTGTAACCTTGTTGACAGTAAGAGACAATTGTTTTGCTAGACCCATAGTGCACGATTCCTTTCTAATATCGTCAAACAAATGGCACCACCTCCTTTGACGTCGGTCTGAGCAATACCACAGATAGGTAAGGTGTATTTTTTCAATGATTTTTTTTTATTCGCACATATACTATTGTGTGTGATCCACCTGCATCATCCATGATCAACTGATCACAAAATGACTTGGTTTTCTTGCGTTTCTATAGAATTTTGCAGTCGAGTAAGTTTTTTATTGCGTTAATTCGTGTGGCATTCTAACATCAATTTTTTTTCTAATCTGTGTGCTGATAGATGCTTATTCCCCTAGCAATACTGCGGCTACTCGCGTATTGGTCTTGCTCAGCTTTCGTAATGATCTCACTAACCTTTACCTGGTCGACCATTGTCACGGGAGGTATCTTTAACTTTAACACCGAACTTCTCGGAATGACACAACTATTCTCGACGGCTTTTTACAATAAGTATTCTGATAACTGATCTACGCGCCTAGACAAGTCATTTGGTTTTTTTATCGTAATAAAACATAGCGAATTTTTGCAGGAATTTAAAATAAATGCATTTTACGTTAGCAATTTTCACACAATTATTACTATTTTCCTAACTTTCAAGTGACATCAACATCGACGCAACTCTTACCATCATATATACTGACTGGAAGTTACATACCTAACTTTGAAGTTATTCGATTAGAAAAATGCTTAGCACTTTTTTTTTAACCACACAGTATATAATTAAAGTGGATTTTTTTTTGTTATTTTATAATTTATTTTTGATGATGTCGGTGAAATTAAGAATGGATAATAAGTATTTTTTTTTGGCAATATAGTGGAGATGCGGGGGACCGCCCAGAACTTCTGTGATGAATATGTTTCTGAGGGGTAACATTTTTGACTAGCTAGTACTATTTTGACGAGTGCAACAAATCAGTACGTATTTATCATTTGCATATATAACAACAGATAATGGTCTTCTTTTAAAAGGGATTATTTTGGGCTGGGATGCGACATATATCTTGCATCTACAGACGGGCTTGCAGCCATTTTTATATTCAAATAATTAGATACAACTCACAGTGGAGAAACGTACCTAGATTCATTGTATGAGTCAAAAACCTTGTCAGTTTTAACTGTCCGCATAGGATGAGACCATTGCCGTATGATAATCAGACTCGTAAGTTACATTTGCCTTTGAACGGACGCAAGTTAATCATTTTACTTTCACAGCCAGGTGTGAGAAGAAAAATAATTCACACAATGAGAGCTTAGTTACCCAGCCAATCAAAGAGTTTGACTGTCAGTCTAATGGTATTATTGAGATGTAAGTCTCATCTGTATAAATATGACTATGACAAATAATTTTCGTTGGAGGATTGCTTGTTCGTTTTCCTAAAAAATCTCAGTTGGGGTGTTGACCATTTTTCATTTACGAAAACAAATTGAAGGCTACCCCAAGTTTCTTCAAGTTAGTGCAAAATGTACGCCAAATAATTAGGCGCCAGTCAAAAAGTAAGCTTGCATAGATGTCAAAACATATGAACCAATGGACGCTGGCCAGAAAATATATTTATATTGTAATGCGAATTTATTTTTAAACTATATGTAGAATATTTAGAAGCTGCATTTTGGAGGTATCTAACAAAAACTCAGACCCATAAAGCTTACAACGCGGGTAAATAGAACTGCTCTATAACTATAACTGTAAATAGGATCCAACCAACTGTCTATTTTCTAATTGGTTTTATTGAACCTACCGTCTACTGGAACGCCCAGATGCACCTCCAGATAAGTAGTATCAAATAGGAAAGGTCTGGCCTCCAAAGCTGGTTGATTATCCCAACTGGGAACGTAAAGGAAAGGCCAATGTTGAATAGTGTGACCTAGTATAGAAAAAGATAAGGCGGTCAAATACCCTTTAGGCATATTCGGCAACGCGTCACTCCTGGATCCTGACTTATTCAAGTTATTCGCTAGACTGCGCGCTATTGAATACATTAGTGGATTACAATTAGTAGGACATCAAAGATACAAACCGTAACACATAAGTAAGAGTCTATGAATTTACTAAAAGCGTTCTATCGCCCCTTTTTTAAGTCAGCTCGAAGCGTCTATGGACCGCCTAAGCCGGAAAGGTTGCCTACAGTCTCAAGAGTCATTTAGTCTACGGGCACAATCTTACGCATTATAACGAATACTACATAATACAGTACGTACGTCACCTGCAACGAGATCAATAGGATCGAACAGTTAGTTGCAGAAGTGCCCAAAAAAATCCATTTTATAACTAGCTTTAACTCTTGTGAAACTAGTGCGAGAAAATGCGACTTAGGAGCGAGATTTCGAACTCGAAGGCAGCCTTGACGAGAAAAACGACGGGCTGTTTGTTCGGAATACCATGTTTATGCTGCGACCGAGCGGGAACTTTACTAGTAAAATTATAGTTGTCGTTATTAATAGAACTAATTAAAAAAAAAAAAACTATATTCACGTACCTATCGCTTTTGTTGGCTAAATGTTTTTGTAGTATAATGGAGATATATTCATGTTTACTTAGCTCTTGAAAATTCTGGTTCTTAGCAGATGGTTTCTTTTAAACGAACCGCTTCGTCGAGAAGGGGTGTGCCTAGAACTACGTGTGGATCCCCTAAGCCAACGAAGCCATAAATAGGAACCTTTAAATAACTTAGGCTTTACAATATTTGGTAATAGAAAACTTCGGCCCCTTAGGTCGAACTTTACCGAGCCATTTTCGTAGCAAGAATGCCCCGGTTGCCAATGTACAAAGTGACTACTTTATCTATAGGGCTGCTGAATGTCTACTACGAGGCAGAATCTCCGTGATATAATAAATACGTAATGCGTAGATTGCTTGCATCAGCTGATTTGTTCAAAATGCGTAGCCGCATCAGAACAATGTTTAGGCAATTAAATATCTTGTTGAATAGGTGGCGGGGACAGCTGTCGTATTTATGGATTGAGTTCCTAAAACTAACCTCACTTTAACTCACACATCTGGATGTTACGTGCGAACATAAAGAAGGACGGCTTGTAAGTATGGGGCTATTAGAGCTGAGCAATATGAAGCCATACATTTCAGGCCTCTTACCTGGGACTAAGACGATGCCACAGTGTTAGGACAAAGAGGCACAGTATACGTTTTCACCTGGGATTTGTTACCTCTGTTAGGCGGCCGAAATTGGATTTAACTGAGTGACTATTTAAATCGGTAAGCATACTGAAGCACATGTTAATTTTGTGCACTAACCCACACTGCCTCGACTTGTGGGTCCTAGCGAACCGCATGTGTTTACGGAGCGGAACAGGCCACAATGGACTGGCCACAATGGATACTTTCAGACCCCCCACACCCCCCCCCGATGATCATAAAAAGACTACTGTGCGAAACTATCCGCTAACAGTTTGTTTAGAATAAGCACTAGGATGATTTCACATTTATAGCTTTGATATAATTTTTATCAGAAAAGAAATTCTTATATTTAGAATACTATTTTTCAAGCAGCTACGGTTAAGATTCTTTGTAATTCCAAGTTGATCACTTGCGATTTTTACTAACACATAATATTTAGTGTGTGACGACTTCTTCGTCCTATAAACATTTTGGATCTGGCAGTGTTTAAGGTAAATTATTTTCTTGAAGAAACAATTTATGGAATTATTCAAGAATTCATAAAGAAATAGAAAAACGTATATAAAAAGCACATATTTTACCAGATTAACTTCGTCTCTATTAAAAAAAAAAAAAACTTAAAAGCTATCGAAAACAATGATCGTTGTACAGTCTGCAATAGTATGCCAAATAATACAATTACCGTCCAAATGATCAAGGTTCAATCAAAATAATGTCTCTTCAATAGATTATTCGGGTCCATACAATTTGAGCATCTGCTGAATGATCCAATTCTGTAGGTGTCGCTTCTGGTCATTAGTCCCTTAATGCCAGTTATCTGAACGACCCTCTAACTAATAAGATCTTGTCTTTCTTCGATTTGTTTCCCGTAATCCAGAGTCTGAGGAAGAAGTTGTGTATGCTGGACATTGGAGGGTTCTGAGCGTGTGTCCTAGGTGACGTGACGTTACGCCACGGCGCGTCACGATGCCTGTGGTGGCTTCTTCAACCGAATTCCGTGATCGTCCAGCGTCTTCTGGCCTGCTACGCTCATGGGGCCGTACTTTAAGCGACAAAGATAGCAATGCTACCACCGAAAACAATTCAACTGTGGGATACTCGACTCCAGCGGGCTCGTTATCAGGCCCCGCAGCCACGCCAACAGGTGCAGGCCAGCCGAGCCTCGTACTTGCTCGAACAGCTAGCGGAATGCATGATAGCAGTAAAGAGGTTGGCGTGGTCAAGGAGCTTGCTTCTGCCAAAGCGTCGCTTGAAGGCCACCGTCAGCCTCTGACAGCCGTCACGAGTGTGGGCAGCGCCGTGGCAACAAGTAGTCACAGATTAGCGGACGTTGATCGGGAATCGCGGGAACTATATGGAGAAAACAATATTCTCCCACCAAAAGCAAGGTAAGTCGGCATATACAGTACCAATCAATAAATGGCCACACCGCGCCATCGTCTGCTACGAAACGGTCGGGAATAGTGTCCATTTAGTCGTATTTGCACTATCCAGTATTTACAGTGTTTTCCCATATTCTTATTATTATAGTTGTGGTTAGATTTTTTCATATCTATAGATAATGAAGAGCCAACAGTAAGTCCGTATACAAAAATAGGTAGATAATTTTTAACGACACTGGATTCTTAACATAAAGGGATTGCAAATTTATCAGAAATGATTTTATATTTAGTGAAATTCCTCGTTAATCATAGCTTTCCCCAAAAAGATCGTGAATCTGATTGTGGGGCAGTCCAACGTTGACTTTGCAGAAAGTCAGCGTTCCAGGGGCGCACCCCGGGGGCGACCAAAGGGCGCACTTCGCATCGTTCATAGCATACAATTTAACTGGCCATATGGATATAGTTTACAATAAAACGCGTTATAATTGTCTGCTTATAGGATTCTAAGAGCATAAGAGGCCTAAACTGTTTGCAGAATAGGGTTCGCTATATGTGTTGCACTTAATTGTATAGTCTATAGAATGCACACCCGATTCAGCTGGCTAATTCGCCGATGAAAACCACTTTGAATCGGATAGCAACCGTAACGAACTACGTCGTTTTGTCGGCTGTCATAACATCGACAGTGAGCCTTGTACAGGAACATGTTCTCCGTGGGGGGTCATGTAAGGTCTTGCTTTCGAGGAAGAATGAGCTGGTAGGTTTCGTTTTATACTGGCGTGCGTAAGAGGTGACAGAACATCAAGCTGAAGATTTGTATCTGGCTAGCGTTTCGGAGCGTTACATGTGGTGTTGCGGACAATTGCTTCAGACGACAATATATGACTAGTTAATGACGTTGGATCGGCTTTATCTTCTGAGGAAACCTGCGTAGGAGCTATTTTATTCAACTTTATGAGAATGCAGTCTACAGCTAGTAATGATACGCGCTGTGATTTCATTGTTAACTAACATATTTAATTAGCAAAGATTAATTGGGTCAAACGAAAAAACCATTTGTCTCTTGTAATATTTAAAATGGCTGTGGATAACCTAGGTGTGTTACGATAAAGTCCTTCAGCGTGCGGAATAGGTTCATCCGTGTTTGGCCTATGGCAACGTGTATACTGATTCATATATAAAAATGCATGTTTGATGAACAGTTTTTAGCTAAGCGTGAATGAATTGCTGGCTATTCAAAAGCATGCTTGCATAGTTCAGACAAATCAAACGAATAAGCCAAGTTTCTACTTAGCTGTCAAGTTGTCATACCGCCGTCTATGCTCGTGAACGCTACCGGTCGTACAATCAAGCTATGCCTGTTTTTTTATCTAGTAAAAATGAGACCCTATAATGTATAGGTAATCGTGTATTATCTATAACAAATGGACATAGGGGCTACCTGCCCCTAGAGAGTCCTCTGCAAAAAATTGCTGTTTTGCTAAGAATTACGGCAGTGTCCGATTTTCGTGTGTTAATAGATTTCGCATTCAAGGAAGCCTGTCTGCAGCGTAGTCAGGGCATAGAGTTATGAAACTTCAAAGCGCCACAAATACGAAGATTAACGTTGTGTCACTTTTATTTATGCCCCTTTTGATTTTTTTTATTCTGGGGAGAGATCGGGCTGTTCTCTGCGCAACTGTGACCGTGATCTCTCGGAGATTTTTGTGGCAAGGCGGATACGTTAAGAGGATCCTACAAATTGTCTGTTGTTCTATGTACGTACAATGCCACTATTGAGGTTTAGATTTGCGCACAAGCATCCATGCACACTATACATACATTTCACGTAGTTGCTGTCCAACGAACAACAAAGAGGGAGCAGAAAGCCAAGAGCTACAGAATGATGGAGTGTCATTTCACGGCCCCCTCCAGAAAACCGACGTTATTTGTCCATGGTTAGTATCAGTAGCCGAATTTACTCAAATAGTCGATTCCATCTATCGGTCGACAAAGAAACTTCAGTTTTGGGTGCTGCTGCTGCTGACGGACGGACTCAATGAATGATGCTAATGCTCCTCAGAAGCCGTCAATATTGGCGGTTGTTCATTTAAGACGAATGCTGGCAAATGCTTTCGGCCATGACGGGGCTAAGCAGCCGAATGGAAGATTCTTTCAGGAAATCTTAGTGCATCTGCTATTCATCATGCGACCGAGACCGCGTCATGGAGGAGTACACTTGAGAAAGTAAACACGAGTAAGGGATCACAGTTGGAAATGGGGCAAGGTCGAAAAGTGACACAAAGGATCGATGTAGAGCGAACAGCTCCGGTTCGCAGAGCGTTTTCTTTTTTTGTATCCTGCTGCTTTCATCCCAGCGATTGGCCGGCTAACTCGACCAGTTGATTATAAATTTGTCTTTTCTATATCTTCGATTTTGTGCACGTTATCCTATTAAGTGGTGGCTGGCAAGGGCAATCATTCAGGGCCCGAGACCAGTTGCTGAAAGGCGAAGTGGCGTTTGAGTTTCGGGTCCCTAACACTTAGGCTTTTTATCATCTTGGTGCCCCACGTCCCCCTGCTTCGAAAACGAAAAACGAGAATCAGCAATTTGATCGCCCCGAGGGGATTGTTATTTAAGTCATTTGCAATTTACAACACAAGCGGTCCCCGCTGCGCCACAGCGGCGCCGAACTTTGGCTATCTAACACGTTAATAAGACTTCCACGCGGCAGGCACGAAGAACACGGAAGGCACGATCAAGCAGAACAGGGCATGTGGTCCGTTTTCTATAAAAAAAAAAAAAAAAATAGGTAAGGATCGAGTGATAATCCTGGGCTGATTGCTGATCGTTGTTATTAGATTAGAGCCAGTAGATTGTAGTTTATCAAAAAAAAAAAAAAGTTTTTCACGTTAATTGATGCGGTCTCATTTGTGACGTAAACGTGCAGGTGTCTTGGTACCTGTAGATCAAGTTCTGTTCCCAACTGAAGACGAGCTTGTTAGTGCAAAGTGCGGAGTTATCATGGTATATTAATACTATCATACTGAAACAAAAAGTACCAGATAACTTTTGGATACACGTGAATCCCTATCAATAACTGGTCAGCAGACAAATATCAAACGAGTAAAGGTTAAAGGGAAAAAAAATCAAATCGTAGTCGAAAAGCAATATATGTTTGTACTTGCATTGTCTTCATTACTAGAGAGTCACAACATCCCGCCCCTGTGTTAATATATGAAATTCGTATCGTCTTTAAAAAACTTTCAAAGTCCTCTAACGTAACAGTCGTTATGCGTAATACTATGGGGGTTTTGGGTTGAGAAAGCGGTTGTCGTAAATTAGAAAAGAAAAAGTTGTTTCCCAAAAAAAAAAAAAAAACAGAGACTTATTTGTGTACCAGTATTCTTTATACGGTGTCCCTATGGTAGCCATCTACGTAACGTAAAGTTTCAAACGGTATCTCACATGCCTTCACCCAGCTATTAATGAATCGAGACTGACTGAACTCAAATGGATTTCTACCAATCGTTATGTCTGCAATATATACGATAAACGTCATTATGTAAAATGTTTTTAATTTAACCTTTAGCTTGCGGCTGAATCTGGCGCCCTGACGCTATCAACATGTGTTGCGGGTCGCAGCGATACTAAACCCTTAGGAGATAATATATTGTACGGGTTTCGGCTTGATCGCTCTCGTTTAGCGCATACGGGCTAACCACACACCAGTTTCAAAATGATCAAGACGGGATACGGTGGTTTCCTATGATCATACTGAAATTAACATTTTCAACCGTCTAACTCAGTTTCGTATCCTATACTGCTGTATTACCAAGGGCGGACACTCTGCAACTTCTGCTGTAACTCTGGTTTCTGCTGTGACATTGATTCACCGTTACAGCCGCCGGTGATTTTAATTTTCCTGGGGGTGTACAACTACAGAAAACTCATCTAGGGATTGCGATCTGGTCTCATTCACTATCCTGATCCTATCCTTGATCTGTTGTTTGTCACTTATCCCGAAAGCATCATTGTTAATCCTGCACATATATATGGTATCAAATCATAGCGACAATTGTTTACATTACTTTTAGTACCGCCAGCTGAATGTTCCAACCGATAAATTCCACTGTATGAGAATGGATTGTACAAGACTAACTTAACAGCTGGATACAACTGACTGGCCACTCTCTTCCTTCAGTATGTACAAATGAAGTGTGGATGAAGTCTGTGAAGTGTTGTTTAGTGTTAATAGTTACCTGAGCTTTGTACGTCTGCCCAGCTAGGGAACACAAAATTAGCTTGCAGGACTCAATTCACCAACCACACAAAGACAAGTAGAAATAGTAAAACTAGCAAATAATAAGCTTACTTACTAAGTCTAATCTAGACTTCGAGTTCATTTTTCTTTACGGGAACATTTGACTAAAAGGCTAGAAGTTCTTTTTCGTCTTTATATTTTCTTAATCTTCTAAATTGGGCGAAGTTGACGTATTAACGGATGGGTTGGCATGATTCAGCTAACTAATGCACATTTCTTACGCGTATGAAGTATGGTCATCAATAATACAAATTTCGATATTTACCATGGTAATTCTTACCATCCCATTTCATAACTCTGATAAGTCCAGCAAGAACCACAAACTAAATAGTAAACAACCGATCGAGAGAAACCTATCGTATCTCACGTCACGGCTGATACTTTGTAATGTGAATTTTCCCTTCGCGCGGTTCGGCGGAGATTGAGGTTGATCCACTTATGCTGTAACGTCTTCCCTGGACAATTCCCGCGGTAATACCTCACAGCTTAGACCCAGGGTGATTCATTATACAAGGCCTAAAAAAACTGGAAACCAGGAGTGGGTCTGAAAAAAATGAAAAAGCAGGTAATCTGTTCCGACAGCCGAACGATATTGGCGTCAACAAATGACCTACCCCTACCTATAATCATTCTGTTCCCATACGCTTCTGGAATTTTCAGAATCGACGATAATTAGCCGTATAGGATTAAAACCCAGGGGTA